AAACCCCTGAGCGCGTGGCGGTACGTGTTCCTGATCACAGTGGGCATCTACCTGGTCACCGGTTCCCTCTACGTCTTCCTGATCTCCGAGAAGCCGCAGTACTGGAACGAGCCCAAGCTGTGCAGAGGTGAGTGTGTGGGAACAGCTGCACGCGCGTCGTTGGCATTCCTCTCCATTGCTTTACTTGTATACATAGTGTGCACACACATACAGACCTTCGTTTGCCTGGTATTTCTGAAGATAATACGCTTTAGTGTTATAACAATGGTAAAGTATTCTCGTATTAAAAAACAGCGATCTAAGATCTGTCAGACTGACCCCCCCCCCTTCCCTTCCCCAGCAGGAAAGGAGTGCGATAACGAGGTCAAGGTCAGCCTCGCCTCGACGGTGACCACGCCGACCTCTCCGACGTCACCGCTCGACCCTGTTATCTGTTAACTCGGCGCGACAAGGCCTGGTCTTAATGAATTTTTAAGAATCATATTTGTAGAGAGAATGTGAGAGTTTTTTTTAGAGAGTTTTATTAAGGGGTTTAAGAGAGAGGGAGGAAGAGAGTTGCAATCTCAAGGAACGGAAGTGTAAAATCGCCTGCATCCAATCAGGCTGAAGTGATCATAGCGCTGACCTGTCCCGGGAATGATTGACAGGGAGCGCCGTCATATGACAGGCGGAATAGACAGGCAGCTCCACATGCATTGCGTGATTTGTGAAGCCATTGCTCAATAGGGGAGAAACAGGACAATGATAGTATATGACGTAAGGTGCAGAAAGCAAAGTAAGTATACTCGGTTGTATATATATATAGTTCGTTGAAATGCAAAACAGTACGACTTGCTTCAGCCTTTCTTCAAGCACTTGCATTCGACGCGGTTGAAAGCTCGCTAATACCACAGTAAGGAATCACTGTGTAGTTGTGGAACCCGAGTCTTCCCAGAGGGTTCCAGAAAGGTACAGTGAGAAGCCTCCTCGTGCCAGGTCGGGACTGGGCAGTTCCTCCGGTCCTCTGTGTCATTCCTTCCCTTCCATGTTCATATTCCAGGAGTCATTACCAGACAGAAGTGTATTAGAAACCCATTTTCTATTCGAAGGCGTTCTCCTCCTGATAAAAAAAACAACAAAAAAACAAGCAAGTGTATGTTTCAGGTTCTTTTCATTTTTTTTTCAGGAGATCTAGGAGAACGTTGGACTTTTTCAGTATTGTGTATTCTGTTGAGTCCCAAGTCTTCCAATTGACGAAATTTTTTCAGTATTGGGCTGCCAGTGTCAAAAGATGATCCTTCATTTACAGTTGTAGAATAATCACTTCTGTTTCCTTTTTTTATACAGATTTATCGTTTTTTTGTTAGTCATATACTTATAGTCTAATATTCTTAGGATTTAAGTTGTATGTAAAATAAAGGTTATTTTTTTGCATAAATGAATTTTATTTGCCGCCTTTACCGAGTGTTTGTTAAATCCTTACATACGTAAATATAAGCATATATCAGTCCATCCACCCAGACATACATTCATACACCCAAACATCCATCTATATTCACAAATACATACGTATAAAAATAAACAAATGAACAGACATATACATGCAAACGTGCCTATATAAATACATAAGTATACACATACATATACTGTGTAATTTCATACACCCAAACATCCATCTATATTCACAAATACATACGTATAAAAAATTAATAAACAAACATATACATGCAAACGTGCGTATATAAATACATAAGTATACACATACATATACTGTGTAAATTCATACATCTAAACATCCATCTATATTCCCAAATACATACATGTATAAAAAACAAATAAACAAACATATCATGCAAACGTGCGTATATACATACATTTATACACATACATATACTTTAAATTCATACATCCAAACATCCATCTATATTCACAAATGCATACATGTATAAAAAAACAAACAAATAAACAAACATATACATGCAAACGTGCGTATATACATACATAAATATACACATACATATACTGTGTACATACATACATGCACACATGCATCTATACACACACACATAGACACACACATACATTCATTCACCCATATTGCATAGATACATTCAAATTATACACACACTATCTATATTTATATCCATGTCTGTTTATCTGTCTATAAGTCGGTTTATCATCTATCTAATCTATATACCAATCGTGTGTACACATATCTGTTTATTAAACATACCTTCATGTTGCATACATCTGTATATTCATACATACATGTATGCATTCGTAAACACTTGAATTGGCACAAATTATCAAACAATAATAAAATATATGGACTAGAAAAAACATTGGTACAATAATCTTTAAAATTACTAGACTATAGATCAGCAGAACTGTTATTATTACTGATATTCAGTGTTGTTCTCTGTTCAACCAAATGTCTCTCGTTCTTCATGGTTATATATGCTATTGAAACTATTTTTAACTGTACTAAATGTATGATAAATCACGGATAATCGGCTACAGGGCCAAGAGGCAACTTCATTTCCTATTCAACGTTACTCACTTGTTCACCACGACTCGACTCTACTCCAAATATGTATATATGTGTATGTGTATATATGTGTATATGTGTATGTGTGTGTATGTGTGTGTATGTGTGTGTATGTGTGTGTATGTGTGTGTATATGTGTGTATGTGTGTGTATGTGTGTATATGTGTGTATATGTGTCTATATTTGTCCATATGTGTATATAGGTATATATGCATATATTTCTCTACAGAAGGGAGGTGTGTGTGTGTGGGGGGTGTCCCCCTTCAACAAGCTCCAATCTACTTGCAAGCAACAGACCATTTACTCCAAACGTACGTAACACAACGTATAAGAATCGCCGTCTGACGCTACAGGGCCAGAGCAGGAATACACAACTGCAACTTAGCTGGTTTTCGGGTTCCTACCGAACAGGCTTCCCGACTTGGCCATTCGGGGCCTAGGTGTAGTCGGCCAATCTTCAACCCTGACAAACCCCATTGGAACCGGCGTTGTAGAAGCTGAGATACAGAGGGGTTCAAATCGCCCAAGGTGGATACATATACATACACTGGTGCCACTTTTGGAGAACACAAATCTCTCGAGAACGGAACCATTTTTTTTGTAACCTTAAATGATAGACAAAGGACCAAACAGACTATTAGATGACATCTTAGTTATATTCGACTGACTACAGCGATAGGCAAGACACCCTCCTTTGGCTGACGCAAAATATTGCCAAATTTAACCCTTCGCGTTCCAAAATGAATTCCAAAAACTCCGACCAGCCAAAGGAGTGGTTGTGTGAACGACGTCCTAGTGTTCCAACGACTAGGCTGGCTGAACAACTGTGCATAGCTCTACGATCAGATGCGTGAGTGACCACCTTTTCATCTGATACAAAATCAAAAATTCACTATCCAAAATTGATGATTACAAAAATGGAAATCCACAATAACAAAACGTGGGACTTTTTAATTTTTTACCCCAAAACAGTGAGATTGTTTGGCCTGCTCGGGGACCCAGCAATGTGTCGGAAGGGGACATAGCTTTAGAAATTTGTCCATCGTGTCCACGGGGTGTGCAATCGAGAGAGAGGGAGAGAGGGAGGAGGGAGAGAGAGAGAGAGAGGGAGAGAGAGTGAAGGAGACAGAAAAGGAGACAGAGAAGGAGACGAGAAAGGAGACAGAGAAAGGAGACAGAGAAAAGAAACAGAGAGAAAAGAGACAGAGACAGAGAGAGTCCGGAGACAGAGAAACAGATAGAGACAGGAACAGAGAGAGAGACAAAGTAACATAGAGAAAAGAGAGAGAATTGGACAGGGCAAGGGGACAAAGAGAAATAGAAAAATAGAGAAATAGAGTAAAAGAGAGTTAAGAGAGAGCGTGAACAAGAGGAAGAGAGAGGAGAGGAGAATCGACAAGAGAGAGAAATCAGGGACATAGACAGCGACTGTAAAGACTGACTGATCAGGTAAAGAGAGAAAATCCAGGTCAAGAATGGCTTGCCAAGTTTGTTTTCGATTCACTTCCATCACGTCAAGAGGGAGTGTCAAGGATATCCGCTAAACACTTAAAGATATCCAATCACTTCACTCAGATAATAGATATCCCTTGGGCCATGAGTATCCGAAAGCGTGGTAATGCAAACGTGAATGAGGAATAATGAGTTTGAGGCACAAGGACGGAACGATTACACATCCCGTGGACACAATGGACAATTTTTTAAAGCTATGACCCCTTCCTATACATTGTTGGGTCCGCGGGCCAAACAATCTCACTGTTTTGGGTAAAAAAAAAAAAAAAAAAAAAAAAAAAAAAAAAAAAAAAAAAAAAAAAAAAAAAAAAAAAAATATATATATTAATATATATTATATATATATATATAATATATATATATGTATATAGATATAGATAGATACACACACAACACACACACAACACATATATCTATACTATATTATATTATATCTATATCTATATCTATATCTATCTATCTATCTATCTCTATCTATCTATCTATCTATCTATCTATATATTATATATATATATATATACATATATATATATATATTATGTGTGTGTGTGTGTGTGTGTGTGTGTGTGTGTGTGTGTGTGTGTGTGTGTGTGTGTGTGTGTGTGTGTGTGTGTGTGTGTGTGTGTGTGTGTGACCTACCATATTCACATCAATATCTATATCAGTAGCCTAATCATGTTTACCCTAAATCTAATTTTAGTTGTCATTCATCTTTCACTAAACCAAATTTGATAAATATCAATATGAAACAGTTTATCCGGATAATAGTACATCCAAAGAAAACTGGAGCGTTTCATTTTGTTCGTAGAAAACGTAAATTTACAGGGGAAACTTCTTTCTCTATGTTAGATTTGGATCAAGCAGCAAGAGCTATAAGGAAAATGCGGTAATTTTTCAGAATAGACAATTTTGATATCCATGGATTCCACTCTTTACTATCAAAATGTATAGAAATTATAACGCAAACCTCCCTAACCCCCACATTCTTATCCCCGATAACAGAGAGAGCATGGGAGGTACCAAGGACACTGGGGAAAAATATGAATAATATGCACTGAGTCAATTACCTCATTGTCTGATACACGCCCCTATTCCCTACCAGGAAAACCAAGAATACAAATCTCTCGAGAACGGAACCAGAAAAAAAGCTGATCGACCACTCGTTTGGAAAGGTGTCTATCTATCAATATCTATCTATCTATCTATTCCCCACGCAGGAGAGAGCCTCGGAGTCCGCCATGGAGCTTTCCCGCATGTCGGTCCTCCTTCTCGGCCTCTTGGGGGACTTCCGGGGTCTCCTTCTAGGGCTCGTTGGGGACTTCCTGGGTCTTCTCGGGCTCTTGGGGGACTTCCTGGGTCTCCTTCTCGGGCTCTTGGGGACTTCCTGGGTCTCCTTCTCGGCTCTTGGGGGACTTCCTGGGTCTCCTTCTCGGCTCTTGGGGGACTTCCTGGTCTCCTTCTCGGCTCTTGGGGACTTCCTGGGTCTCCTTCTCGGGCTCTTGGGGACTTCCTGGGTCTCCTTCTCGGCTCTTGGGGGACTTCCTGGGTCTCCTTCTCGGGCTCTTGGGGACTTCCTGGGTCTCCTTCTCGGCTCTTGGGGGACTTCCTGGTCTCCTTCTCGGCTCTTGGGGGACTTCCTGGGTCTCCTCTCGGGCTCTTGGGGGACTTCCTGGGTCTCCTTCTCGGGCTCTTGGGGGACTTCCTGGGTCTCCTTCTCGGGCTCTTGGGGGACTTCCTGGGTCTCCTTCTCGGGCTCTTGGGGGACTTCCTGGGTCTCCTTCTCGGCTCTTGGGGGACTTCCTGGGTCTCCTTCTCGGGCTCTTGGGGGACTTCCTGGGTCTCCTTCTCGGGCTCTTGGGGGACTTCCTGGGTCTCCTTCTCGGGCTCTTGGGGACTTCCTGGGTCTCCTTCTCGGGCTCTTGGGGACTTCCTGGGTCTCCTTCTCGGCTCTTGGGGGACTTCCTGGGTCTCCTTCTCGGGCTCTTGGGGGACTTCCTGGGTCTCCTTCTCGGCTCTTGGGGGACTTCCTGGGTCTCCTTCTCGGGCTCTTGGGGGACTTCCTGGGTCTCCTTCTCGGGCTCTTGG